ATTCTGTGTGTGTGTGTGGGGGGAATTGATTAGGTTGATTTTATGTTTTATAATTCTTTGATGAGGAACTTGCAGTCTAAGATAAATAGGAAATCTACAAAAATAGAAGTGTTTGATTGTGGTATACAGTGCACCAATATATTCTATTCAGATGCAAGGTTCCATTATGTCAATAAAGGAAGCCACAGGTTAAAAAATGCTTCCTGGACTGCTGGATGTTTATAGCCAAGGAACAAATGAACAAGGTTTCACCATGTTCCCATACAGACACATCACTGCAAAGACTTGCCTGCACAAGTATTTCCACAGAATTAGCAACCTCCTGGGCTCGGTGTTCATACCCCTTAAATGCTAGTTAATTAATGAAATGGCCACTTCTCTTTCTTTTACCTCATTATTTAATTTTTAAAAAAATACTTACTCTAACCCACCCTTCTCTGATTTCTTGTTTGGTTACTACAGCCATTTTTTAAAAAATTAATACAAATGACATAGAAACCAGTAAAATCAATACAAACATTAAGTTAAAACTACAACATGTCATAGCATTCACAAAGAACCTAAGTAGCATACATTGAGTAACCTGCTCCCCAGAGGCTTTTGCAAAATTCAGTATCAGCAGTGGGCAATCTGTGACCCTCCGGATGTGTTCAAGCAACAACAACAACAACAACAACAACAACAGAGGGAAGGATCCAGATACCAAAATCAAATTAATTTGTAGGTCCAGTGTGTTTTGGAAATCCTTCCTCAGGGCTAGTAAATAATACACACACACACAGAATGACATAATCAGAAAAACAACATGAACACATAAATAGCTGTGATTAAATCTCTTGATAATCTGTTCCTATTAAAATAAGATTGTTCTAATTTTCATTTAAAAATTAACATTCAAAAATTGTTAAAACTAGCAATAATGAACACATACACAAAACAAATATTGGAGCTGTTCACACAACCAAACCACAGTGGGCTGAGATGTGCAGGGGGGCATGCTGAGTATCTAAACTGCAACTGCAGCTTGTTGCGTCATCCAAACTCAGCAAGGTTGGGTTGTGTCAAACAATCCTTGTAGAACCCACAGTCTCTTTTTAGGTTATACAAGTGTTTAACCCTCTCACCCATGCCTGCTGGGTCTGGATGATACCACAAGCAGAAATCATGGCTTGAATATTCAGGATAGTTCCCCATAGATGATGCAGTGTACTGTGGCTTAAATAAGCCACGATGAACCAAAACAATATGAAATTCAGTCATTGTTTAGTTGACAAACTTTTCTAAGAACAAAGCAGCCCTTACAGTTCAAAAACTTCTCCCCCAACCTAGTGATCTGAAATGTTTTGAACAACAGCTCCCACGATCCTTCACTATTGCCTATACTAGCTCAAGCTGATGGGAACTGTAGGCTACAGAACATCTAGAGGCCCACAAGTTGACCATCCCTGCTCTGTCCTGTCCAGCAGAAGACATTCAACAATGGGAACAGGCAGAGCCTCTGTAGGGATGGCATTCCAGAACAAGGGCTCCATGACCCGATTCACATTCCCTCCCACCAATTTTCAGTTGGCAAGGGAGTCCGAGAGTAGACTTTATGATGCTAATCTTTCATTCATTAAGCCAATAGAAACAAGTGGTCTGAGATGAGCAACCTCTGTAATCTCTTTATACTACATCAATTCTGCAAATTTCCAAAGTGCTTGCCAGGAAGAACGATTAATTAAGGAGGCGGTCCTATGTCCACATGGAGCCATGGAGTGGAGAGGGACCTCAAAAGGTCATCTAATCCAGCACTCTGCTAATGCCACTACAGCATCTTTGTAGTTGGCCATAGGTTCAAGGAGGAAGAGCCCACTGCCTCCCAAGACAATGCCAGATCACAAACCTAATGCCGCAAGTAGTTCAAGGAACCAGACTGGTTCTGCCTGACAACCTCTCTGGGGACAAATTGCCCTCTTCCAACCTTGCTTTAACTGATCAGAAGCATATCATGTCAGCAGTAAGAAGTGACACAATTGAACCAGCATGTGAAGCAGTTCTGTTGGAATCAGTGGGACCTTCTGTATCCCATATCTGGATCAGGATACCAGTCTTCAAGAGGAAATCAGTCGTGGAAGAAGTAATATGGAATAATGAGAGACATAAAAGAGTCTGTCAAAGTACTGCATCAGCAGAAGCCCATAAGGAAGTACACAGAAATAATGCTTCTATAAACACTGGATAATTGGAGCTCAAGGCACTATTCATATTAAAAAATCATCACATCAAATCCAATTAAAACTTAATTTTAAAAGAGAAGAAGGTGAAGATACATTAAAGAGGGCAATGGATCTTCTCAGAAGCTCGTAGAGCAATAAGCACACAATCCTATGCACATTTAGAAAAGAGATGTCCTACAACTTCCAGTATTCATGATCTAGGCTGGAAAATACTGGAATTTATAAGGCATTTTTTTCCATCTAAAGTTGCACAGGATTGCTCTGTTAATGAATAAAGGCTTCAGATCAAATACCAAAGGAAGGAGCAAAAAACACCAAGAGGATCCAACAAAGTTTTTGTGGATGACATTTTATGGACCAAAACTAAGCATAGAGAGACTTTGGTTTGCTTTCTCTCTCCTTTAAACAAGAGCTTACCAAAATTTACAGATCTTTTTTCATAAATGGGATAAGAAGAACTTGATTAAAAAAAAAAAACTGCGAGAATACAAAACCAACAGATTTGCCTCTCCAAGTAGAGGGCCATGAGAGGTTACCTGAAAGTCTGCGTTTGAATTCCTGAGTATTCAACAAGGTTATGCTGAATTAAAGTTGCCACATCTTTTCACCCGTATCTTCTGAAAGGCTGGTCATCTTTACCAGCTACTTGACAGACAGATGGAAAATTGCCCCTCTCTGTGCTGGAGATGCCACTGAAGTTGGCCAATGCAGATGGGTAAGGATGTTGCTTGAGAAGCAATTTGTGTTTTATTACAAGTAAGAACTTCTCCAAACTCACAGCCTGCTTCATAAATAGGATTGAAAGAACATGAGACTCGAAAACATTGAATGTGGGAGAAAATATGTGGCAGATCTCCCTACTTCTCAAGAGGAGCACTGTTTGTCTGAAGCATAAAGAACCAGTGTGGTTTATAGCTAGAACCATTTCCTCCCAATCTGGTGCCCTCCAGAGGTGCTGGACTGCACCTCCCATCATTCTGGCTGGGGATGATAGGAGTTGCAGTCCAGCATCTCTGGAGGGCACCAGGTTGGGGAGAGCTGGGTTAAAAGGTTAGCCTGGTATGGGGAAGATCCAGCCTCCCATCCCCATTCAGTCTTTCACAAAACTCCCTACGTGACCTTGGGCTGGTCTCACTCTCTGTCTTAGCATAACCTACTTCACAGGGCTGTTGAGAGAATAATAGGGAGGGAGGGACTACATACATTGCTTTAAGTTCTTTGGAGAAAAGGCAGGTAATCGATTAAAATAAAGTACATAAAGTGCTTCCTGTTAAAATTACAGCTGTCTTTTTAAAAAGAAAAAAGCCCTCTAAGAGATGCAGAAGCAGAAAAAGGAAAAAAAACCCAAACCCACCCGTGCAAGCAGTATCCATCCAGTTGTTCAGTGAGGAGTCAACTTGCCCATGCTGCTGTAGCCAATGGAGACAATCCAACATGGACTTAGGCAACTTTAAGCCTGCTGAAATCAGCTAGTTTAAATGTGCCTTACTCTGCGGATAGGGCATTTTCGAGGTCTTTCATGGAGAGGGTTGTCCTAAGTCAGAAATGGCTTGATGGAACGTAACAACTCTGTGCTAGACTGTGGCCAAAGCCTTCAAAAGTACTAGACTGAATAACAAACGCGTGCCACTCATTTTATTTAAACTTATTTCAGAAGGAATCCTATGCCTGTTTAGATGGGAAAAAGGGCTTTTTCTGTCTGAACATACGCAGAATTAAACTGTTATTACAGAACTTTAAACACAGCAGAGAATGTGCATTCAGGCTTTCATTATTTCTCCTTTGCTTATAGCATCGCGCCTGCAATGTATCCAAGAGCCTCACCACCACAAAATTCCTAGCTGCGAGCCTCGGGCTTGCCACTCACCTGCATTTTTCCATCTATAGTCTCTCCATCCAAATGCTCCTCCCACGACTTAAAAGATCATCTACTTGCATAAAGTTCAGGAAAATTACCCACACCTCTTTCATTAAATCTTCCCATATACTTCTCTCCTCCAGCTTTCGTTTAGGTTAGTGTACCTCAACACGCCATCCTGTTCATCATCGCTGCCTTTGAGCAGCAACTTTTTGTATATAAATAAAAAGTAGGTAGGTGGGTCTCGTTCTGTCTCTCCCACTCTCTCTAATACGCCTCCACCTCCGGCACAGTAGAATATTTTAACGGCTTTACCTCCTAGACTAGATTGTTTTAGCTAGTCTCCTGTCTCTTTAAATCCAGTTTAACCCCGGTGACCAATCACAGACAGGATTCCCTTTGACGTCCGACAGCAATCCTCGCTTCTTCCAAGTCCTCGTTCCATCTATCTTTCCCTCTTCGCCTTCCCCCATCCCTGTTCGAATTACATAAAGGGCGGCACGCCTTATTGAGCCCCCTCCCTCGTCGTTTCCAATGAGAACGCCCAGAGCTTCCAAGGCTCGTCAAGGATTGGTTTGCCCAGTGGAACCAATTGGGCCGCGCGGCCGCCGGCATATAAAATGCGAGTGCGCGTTCGCCGCCGTCTGCAGTGCTGAAGCGTTGCTGGCGCAGTCGGAGGAGGGGACGGGTGGAAGCAAGAAAGGGACTTGGCAGTTGCACGCGCCGCGGTTACGCCTTCCCTTTCCCCGCCCCCTCCGGTCCCCTCAAGATATACTCGTTTTTCTCGGGGTTGCGGGTTTTTTCCGACCTTCCTCCTCCTTCTGGAATTTTCCTTGGGTTATTTTTCTTTTTTAGAAACGTACCAGTTTTGCTTTCCTCGGTGACTCAGCCCGCTTTTATTCTCTTTTATTGCCCCTTCTCAGGCTGTCTCCTCCTTTTCCTTCCTTCGTCTCCTTGGGAGGGCTCCTCAGCATGCGCACGGCGGGGTCGGCGGCTTCGGGGACGGGCGCCGGCGGGAGCGCGGGGAAGCCGCAGCAGCCGCCGCAGCAGCCGCCGCAGCCGCCCAGCAGCGGCGAGGATGAGCGCTTCAGCGTTCTGAGCTGGGAGCAGGTGCAGCGCCTGGACCACATCCTCGAAGAGGCCGTGCCCATCCACGGCCGAGGCAACTTCCCGACCCTGTCGGTGCGGCCGCGCAGGATCGTGCAGGTGCGTGACACAACCGGGGGAGACGTGCCCGGGCGGTTCCGCCGTACGGACACAAGTTAGATCCGAACTTGGAGGAAACTCTTTGAGGGGCTGTAATGAGGCTTAATTACCTGCAGTCCCGCTGGGTTCAGTTCATTGCTTCCCTCGCCATCTGAGGGGTGTTTTACCTGGGAGTAAGTGCCTTTGGCTTCCGTGCACTTACTTTTAAGCAAGCGTGCTTAAGATTTGGTTCCAAATGGCAAAAGAGAAGCCAAGCCTGAGGCGAAGTTTCTTCCTTTAGCTACCCAAAACTATGGTGACAGCCGTCCCTATGTATACTAGGGGCTCATCTGTTAATTGCGAACCATAGCCTATCTCTCTGCAGGAGTAAAATAACTAAAGTGAGAGACTTTAAATAGCACGTATAGTTTGAGTAGTAATGCACTTAATGCAAAAGAGCATCCATTACTCTGGAGTAGACCTAAGTTAAGTCATTCAGGTTGATTCACTGAGCTTACTGTATTTGATAACCAGAACTTTCCTCCTGCCAAGGGAGACTTTTGAAAGAGCGATATGACTGTCCTAATCATGTTTACTCAAATGTAAGCCTCCATCGGTTCAGTGGGTCATACTCCCAAGTAAGTGTGCATAAGGTGTCAGCTTTAAATAACCAGTGTAGTTGTCAACTGTCATTAGGTTTCTGCTAAATACAGCTAATTTTGGAATTAACAAGCATGGTTCAATCTGAGCCAGAAAGCCTGCTATAAAGTAAAAGTACAATATATGTCAGTTGTACAGTTTTGTTCTGTAGGCAAATTGAGATTTTGAAGGGGCTTCTCTCTGTGACTCATATCAGGATGGGTGCTTAGGCACCAGTATGCAGCCAATTAAACTTTCATGGTGGCACCCCCCCCCCACCATATGCGCACACAAGCCTGAGAAGTGAACATTTAGCACTTAGTTTTTCTATACTGAAGATAATGCTTTTTGAACAAACCTGGCAATCTCACCACAATTTCTTACTGAAATAGCTGTGTGTTAATTCAATTTTTCTGCTAGGAGATTAAGTTTATAGCAGAGGAATACTTTGAATGCAGGGCTTCTGTATTGTTAGCTGAGTACTAAGTTAGCTTCTGTGTTAACCTGAGTTGGCTTTAGTTTAGGAAATGAAGAGGAGAACTTTGGCCAGTAATAGTTGAAAACATGGTGTGTATGCAGGTTTAGTAAGAGTATAAGAACTATGCTGGATCAGACAAAAGGCTTATCTAATCCAGCATTCTGTTCATACAGCAGGCAACTGTCTGAAGGAAGGCACCTAACTACCTACTCATGTCCCCCAGCAACTCGTATATAGAAGAATATTGTATTCACAATAGTCCTGAAGGGTAGACCAGTGTTGCATAAATTACAGGCAGGGGCCAAGAACAGTGGCTTATGTTCACTTGTCTTCATACTGAACTTAGTTCCTGCGATTTTTTCCCCCTTCCCTGTAAGACCGTGGGTTGGAAAAGACCCTGGGTTACCTTGGAATTTAGCAGAAACTGGGCAGTTACAGTGCTGCTCAAGATCCTCCTGTGGAAGGAGACTGCACATTTCTGTCTGGCCAAGCTCCTTTTTGGGCCTTGCACCCCTGATTGCATTCTGTATTTAGATGCCCTCTTTAGGCTTACTTAAAAAGAACAGTATTTAGGGCTTGTAGAATCTGTGTGGCTCAGTGCAGTGGAATCTCAGTGGCCTGACCCCAGCCATGTGAACTGATGAGTCTGAAAGCATTGATTAGAGATGGTTTGGGGAAATAGCCCCTTGCTTCCCACTCACTTCTGTATTCTTACTGTACGGTATATCTGGGAACATTTGTTCTCTGGATTGGGTTACGGAAGAGGAGAGCGCTTAGGATTCTTTGTCAGGGAAGTGTGGCAAAGTAGGGTCTACCCATACAGTAGTGTAGAAGACTAAAGTCCCTTGAACAGCTGTGGTAAAATCCTGCTGCAAGAAAATTTTTTGCTGTAGTCCATGTCCTTTGCATGGAGTACGTGACACTGAGGCACTAAGGAAGGGTGGTATAGATGCTAAATAAGAAAGTAAAATTGAGAGTAGCACGGAAGAGGGGAGGAGTTCTTCCTCTGAAGGCTGGGGTGTGTCTTCTGCCAGTAAGTGGTTAGCAACCTTGCTAACATGTTGAGCAGGAAGGAGCCCCTGAGTCTGGGGATGGGCCAGTGTTCCAAGCCTGCGTTGAACTATGCATATTGCCAGAGTAGCTCCTTCTTGAAGACATAATCCCTTGACAGATTGCATGACAGGAATGCTTGGCATGATAGGGTTAATGTCTCCATGCATCAAGTGAGGTATAAAACCACAGGTCAAAATTTCTAAGGATATGGAAATAAAAGATCACAAGTGGGCAGAGATGCCTCTTAAGCCAAGCTGTGCTTGAGCAGCAGCGCTCGCTTGCCGGCTCAGAGGAAAGAGAGGAGAATGCGCAAGGTACTTGCTTGGTGTCTGCCAGAGGTGTCTCTCTGTGGGCAGCTTGCTTTCAGCCTCCCATAAAGCAGGATGCCTGTTGCAGCATTTGACACTTTGTCACCAGTGCTTCCATATATAGTGCATTTTTGTGGTGTCACATCAGCCTCTTGTCAAGGGCTGGTGGCTGACTTTTCCATACCAGACTGGATGCCATGAACAAATGGAAAAGGGTGTCCTGCTGCAGAGCAATGTGTACCTGAACTCTCTGTCCTCCACACCAAAGGCCAGATTGACCAGTGCATTACCATGTCGGTTACAACAATTCATAGTAAAAGTAAAGGTTGAGTCCACTAACACCTTTCCCTTTCCATGCTTGTGATTCAGTGCAAAAAAAGGGGGGGGGGCACCAGCTGTAAGCTGTAGCGATGGTGCTGGATTTCTGGTATTGCGTATCTCACAAGCAGCCAGGACAGGTTAAAATCCTGCTGATCAGGTGGCAGGGCGGCATGGAGGGGGCTGGCCCACTGGCCCACTGCTGCTTTGGAGCATGGTTCCATCTGGCGGAGTATTGTTGGTTCAGACTGGCAGTAGCTCTTCCAGTTTTCCATCAGGATGCTTGCCTGGCCTCCCTGGAGCTGTTGGGGACCAAAGCTGGGATCTTCTGCAAGGCCAAGCAAGTGCTGCACCACTGGGGAGCTCCCCCCTCCTGGGCCCAAGTAAAATTTCACTTAAATGAGCTGCTGTGTGTGGAAGCTCCCAAGGTCACTCAACTTTGGAGGGCCCCCATTGACTAGTCTTACCAAAGCAGTTCATGTCGAACATTGAACTCTGCTCTGATGAGTTTGCATACTCACTGGACCCTCGCTTGGCAGGCCACTGTCTGCTTATATGGAGCTTGGAATTTGCTAGCAGAAAATAAATCTGCTGACATTGTGATATCTGGTCTCTTGGGCTTGGCCATCTGCCATCAGAGCTCAGGGTTCTCTAGCTGAAATTGAAAGTGAATGCCTATTTGGTAGCTGTAACTTTGGAGCAGGGATGAAACCCATGCAGTGTTCCTAGTCCCTATGGCTAGGATATGTGGTTGAACCTGTGATGTGGGATAAAATACTAAGTTTTGTCAAGAGGCACAGTTGCATTTATACATGATTTTAAACTTACAGATTAGTTAAGGCTTCTGTCCAATACGCAGATAAATGGATGATAGGACTTAATAAGCAGAGAAGGTTAAGTAATAAACAGTGAAGGTATCTGGTTAATAAGGAAAGGCTCTACAAATTGGTCTATACTAAGGTTCACATACTTGGGTTTATCACAACAGCCCTGTGAGGTAGGCTAAGCAGAGATAATAGTAACTTGCCCAAGGCTACTTGTGGATTTGAACCCATGACACTCAGAATTTAGTAGCACCTCTATGTCTGGCTTCACCTGCAGAAGTGAGAGCTATTCTAGAATTGACCCACAGATGGCTGAGAAGAACGAAGAAGTGGAGTGGGAGACCAGTGGAATATCATATAAGGAAAAAGTGGTGGTGAAGGCAGTGTTCCTACGAAATGGGCAGAGTCTTATTACATTGGTAGTAGTGTCATCAGTCTGTGCCCTTCATTATCTTGATGATGAAGGTAGAAATAATATAGTAGGCTAACAGGTTCCAGATTTATAGCATCTGTTGATGTCATAGTTTTGACATTGTGAGCACACTCTGGATTGCTTCTTTTTTTAATATGACTGTTGGGTTAATGAAGCCAAACAGTTATAAAGCAACATGTTGTGCATAAATGCACCCACAAGTTTGGACTTCTTGGAAGGTAAAATGTACAAGCTGATGAGTACCAGGGTAGATTTTTAATGTTCTTGTTGGAACAAAGTGACTTGAGCACAGACATTTAAGGGCAGTGTAATAGGCTGAGTGGTTGAAGAAATGGGAACAACCTGAGGCAGGTAAATGTAGGACCACAGCTCTATAGAGCCCTTGTACTGGATTCTGAGGCTTGGCCATTTCTAAGTGTGGGGCTTGCTGCCAAAACAAGTCTAGTCTGTTGCTTGGAAGTGGATCTCAACACATTAGATCACTGAGTGAAGATTTCGTTTTTACTTGGCATCTAAGTGGCATGCAGGCAGCCTCAGCACGTCTGTAGAAATGCACATCCTGCCACTTGTTCAGGTGTACCACCTTGTCTTTCAGATCGGGGGGTGTGGTAGGGCTGAGGAATCTGTATTGGACAATTTCTGTATGGGTTAAGTATCAGAAGAGAAGCCCACTGTGTGTACAAGATTCAAATATGGGAGAAACTGCAGAACTGATTTGCATGTACCCAGACTGAATCTGATTTGTATGTACTGCATTAACTAGAAGCTAAGGCTTTGTGCTTCTGCAGCTGCTCACTTGTATTTCTATTTTATTTTTCCCAGTCTTCTCACCCTCTTCCATTTGATCCTCCTAACAACCCTGTGAGGTAGGCTGAAAGAAGGGAATAAACCCAGCATCACTAGCAAACTTTGTGTCTAAAGATCTGAACCTGATCTCCCCGAGTCTAGTCCTATCTTATAGCCAGTGC